TAAAAAACCCCTGGGGCTTAATGGCCTGCGGACTGAGCGTCCCCCAGCACTGTCACCACTGAAGAGACCTCACTGCCCGCTCAGGGAGCCTCCCTGGAGGCCGACTTCCTTCCCAGGCTGTGCGATCTCACCTGATCCTTCCAAAGTTGTCTCCGGTCAGCCACACAGCAGCAAAAGCCTCTGAACAAGGTCAGGTGTGACCGGCCAAGGTGCAGCTGACACGTAGTGCGAGGAGACGCTACCCCTGAACATGCTGCAAGGGTTTAGCGTCAAGCCCTCGCAAAGTACTCTCTGGGTCATTCACTTTGTCACCTTGAACAGTTCTGTGTCTTCAGAACTTAAGATGAGTCCTAGTTCATTTCTACAGAAAAAGAACGTTATAAAATTGTAAAAGGAGAGAGCAATATATTTCATGGCTCCTCTGAGGGTATTAGTTTTTTTAAAAGGCAGACAAAAGTGAAAACACAAGTAATCCAAATTCCTCCCTAGTATCAAGTCCTGCCTGATTTTAAGTGAAGTTCTTTACCAAGGCAAACAAAACAGCAGCAGTTGGCCACTGAAATTAACAATCATCCAACAACTGGGCCAGCATAATGGCTCAGTAGCTAAATCCTCACCTTGCATGCACAGGCAACCCACATGGGTGCCGGTTCAAGTCCCGGCCATCCACTTGAGCCCCTTTAACCCATGTGAGAGACCAGCTTGTTGGGGTTCCAGACTCATTTCAGCCTGCCCCAGCCCTGAGCGCTGCAGCCCCTCGGGGGTGAACCAACAGCGGGCAGAAGTTCCCTCGGTGACCCCTCTCTCCCTGTAACTAAGAAAAAGAAAAAGGAAGGAAAGACCTGTCTGCCTTCGTGGTGCTTTCTCACAAGACACACAAACACGAACACCTACTGCACAAACATGAAGTTCCCTCATGAGCTCAGCCAAGACAAACCTCTGATGCCCGAGTACCCACCTGCATGCCAAGCCGGGAGTCAAAGCACAAGGAAGGAGAGCAGACAGCTGACGAACAAGACTCCCCCGGGCTTTCTGAGCCCTGTGTAGATGCACCACACCCTAATAATGAAGCAAAGTGTGTCCCTAAAAAGCAGGAGGGAAAACCTCAACTGGCAGAAGTGCACACAGAGCAGCAGTCCCACAAAGGGCTCCTGCTTCGGCTTCTCTCCTTGCTTCCCACAGCCTGGCTCCCACAGCAGCCACAGCAAGCCAGCACACCTAGAGGGCACTGAGGCGCAGCCTTTGGCAAATAAGCATCAACCACTACCGCAAGCATCCAATAATTCTACCAAAATCTGAAATGATTAAAAACAAACAATTCTGATGCATTCGAGAAACCGCTGGCCTATATGCTATACCTGGGCCAGATGAGAACTTCATGTTCTGACAGAGAGAGATTCAAGGAGAAAACATAATTACTGACTTGTTCCAGACATGGTAATTTAGGCATACTCTTCTACTTCAGAAGACTGGGTTAAACTTTCACTGTTAATTCCTTATTTTCATCCACTTGAAAGGCAGAGGCAGACACACTGTTCTTCTGTCCTCCGGTTTGCTCTCCAAATGCCTCTAAGAGTCAGGCCTAAGCCAGGAGCCTGAACTCCACCCAGGTCCCCCAAGGGGCATGAGCAAGACACTGGATCAGAAGTAGAGTACCCAGGATCCCAACAAGGAGCATCACAAGCTGCACAGCCACTAGGGCCACCCACTGCACAGGGCAAGGCCTGGCTGAAGACACGAGTGATCCGGCCTTCTGTAACATTAGGATGCCCTAACCGACTAGTCATCTCCCCCCAAGCGCCAGGACCCATGTCCCCGCCCGTGTTCCCAGCTCCCTGCCTGTGGCCTGGGAACCCAGTCAGGACACCCAGGGCCTTGGGACCCTGCAGGGGAGACCCGGAGAAGCTCCTGGCTTAGGACAGCGTGACAGGGTCAGCTCCAGCTGTTACAGCCACGTGGGGAGTGAACCAGTGATGGAAGATCTGTCTCCTCTTCTCCTTTCTGTAAATCTTTCTTTCCAATAAAAATAAATAAATCTTTAAAAATATAAATTGTAAATACAGCCCCAACTCAGATGGACCGAAGAAGACAAAGCCCAGAGCAAGCGATGACACGCAGCAACACAGGCCTCTCTGGCTCACTCGCACAAGGCAGTAGCAGGAACACCCCAACAACTACAGGGACTCCCCCAGATGCTGGCCCAATGTTACCTTCTTCCCCCTCGGCTCCTGAACACGGGTGACTCTGTGACGCCACTGGTGGCATGTTCTCTCAGGTTCCCTGTTGCAACAAGGGAACAGCGCTATTCGGACAAAAGCATCTACTTCTGCTAACAAAACAGTTCTTTTTGAAGACTGCTTTTTATTGAAAAGGCAGATTTACAAACAGAAGGATAGAGGGATAGAAGCAGCTCTTCCATCTGCTGGTGCACTCCCTAAAAGCTCGCAACGGCCGGAGCCAAGGTGATTCGAAGCTAGGAGCCAGGAGCTCCTTGTGGGTCTCCCATGCGGGTGCAGGGTCCCAACGACATCAGCCACCTGTGCTGCTTTCCGAGGCCACAAGCAGGGAGCTGGGACTGCAGCAAAGCAGCTGGGACACAAGGCAGCACCCATGCGGGATCCTGGCACTGCAAGCACCCACCCCTACCAACTATGTTTTCCTTGTTTAGGAAATCAGGCTACGACTAAGAGCAATCGCAAGAAAAAAAAAATCCCTGTTGCTTTATAACCAGAAACAGTTCTGATTGATTTTTGCATAATTCCTAGAAATTAATATCAGGAACTGCCAAATATGAAATTCATTTCTCTTGCACTAGGCTATCTTTTCAGAGTCATGAAATGAGATGAACTTCTGCCAAAATGCTGGCACTTCTGCACACAATTTACAAACAGAGATCCAAAGCTGCCTTCTCAGGCGGCTGGGGGGTCAGGGCCACCCCACGCCCGCTCCTCCCAGGGCAGGAGCCCGGAGTCCCGCAGGCAGGCACCTCCTGGACGACAACCATGCTACCTCCTCACTTTGTCCAAATTCCAAAAGTTCTCCTCTTCAATCATTCATACAGGCCTCAGAACAAATTCTTAGCTTCCCACAGCAATCTACTGCTAATTGTTTAAGGAATCTTGGCAGGAAAAAAACAGTAATGAAAATGTGTTCTGATAGACTAGAGCTTTAGGGCAAAATGAACCACTTATCTGATTACTGGCAAAAAAATTCAGTCACAAATATTAAAACAGGCAAACTTTTAATGTCACCTTAATTCAAAATGAGAACTGACAGGAGTAAAAACTAAACAGGAAACATTTGATTTCAAAATATTTTACATATTGTATTAACACTTTCAACCCCATCTTTAATGACAATTTTAACTGTCTTCTCATTTAATTATCGTAAGATACAGGGGTGCGGGGTTGGGGGTGACACGAAAATGTGTCCCTAAAATCTTCAGAGTCTAACTCAAACACACACCCAAAAGGGACAGCAGCTTTCCAAATCACGTCGCCCCACGTTGTAGGGGTAGAGCAGGAAGTCCCTCCTTCTGAGGGCGCCCCGGAGAGCGTGCACTGGCTTCCTTCTGCAGCCCCTCACCTCCGGGCCAGCACAGGGTCCGCAGGCCGGGCACACAGCTCGGGGGACACACACTGGCCGCCGGCCCTCGCAGCTCCCCTTCCGCCTTCTTGGACACTCGGACACGCGTTCCCTAACTTCACCCAACTTTGTAAGAACTAAGTTCTGAATCCCACGGCTTCTTGCTTCTTACTGAAGGATGGCCACTGAAGCCCAGAGGCTGCGTGCCGCCCGGCAGGGGACCCTGTGTGGGGCAGGGGACCCCGTGTGCGCTCCCCCGCAGGCCGGCCTGCAGCGAGCTGAAGGCGAAGCAGGAGAGCGTGGCGCTGCTCCCGGGCGCCCGCAGCCTTCGGAAAAGCTCCAAAGATGCACGGCAAGTTGAGCCCGTCTTGCCCACGCAAAGCCAGCCTCGACAGAAACCAACGACACGGGTAAGGATTCGGAAACGTACACGTCCTTAACAAAGTTCCCTGTTCAAATATCACGGGGGGTTTCAAATTAACAGCACAACTGGATCAGAACACGGCTGTGCCTCCAGAGACGGAAGTTGGGTTGAATTACTTCATCCACACTTAGCAGAGGTTTCCCAGCTGGGACAAGGCTCAACTGTCCTGCCAGGACACTGTTTTCATGACCGGTCTTACAACGAAAATACTAAGGGTGGAGGCTCTGCTTTCAAATACTAAGGGCCTATTTTCCCCAGCTGTGAAGATGTTTACTTTCGAAGCAAAAATCCCAGTGCGAAATCAAGTCTCAAACTCGAGTCTGACCCGCCTTCCGTGGAGTCGCACCCGTTCCCGTCATCACCACAATATTACTATTATCCGAGATCTCTGCGCCCAAAAACCCAGCTGCAGGCTCAGGGAGCAAGAATGAGACACTGTGGCCAGGGCTCCGAGCAAAAAGAAGGGCATCCCGACATCCCGCGAGCAAAGACACCAAGCCACAAAGGGAACCCCGAGGGAGCCCCAGCACGCGACTCCCGGGGGGCTGCGGGGCGGAGACGAGCTGGACCCTCCGGGAGGCTTCGGGGTTCGGGGCGCAGGTCCCTCGGAGCCCACGCCGGCCGCCCGCGGGCCGCGCCCCGGAGGAGTCCGCCCCGCGCGTCCCGCGGTCCCCCACCCCGCCCGGTCCTCGTCCTCCTCCTCCTCCCGGCCCCTTTTGTTTTTCAGGCGTTCGGTCGGCTCGGCGGGGGCGCCCGTCCGCCTGCGCCCCAGGCCCCCGGCCTCCCCCGCAGCCCACGAGCCTCCCGGCCCCCTCAGGCGTCCCCGGCCTCCTCACGCCCCCGCCGCCAGCCTCCCCGGCCGCCCAGCAGCGCCGCGGCCCGCGGACCCGGGAGGAGCCGGCCCCTGTCGGATCGGTCGGCCCGGCCCCGCGCCGCCCTCGGTCCTCGGGGCCACGGGCCTGCCCGCGACCGGCCGGCGCCCCACACTCACTCAGGCCGCGGCTCGGCGCCGTGCGACGGAGACAGACGCCGGGGCGGCGCCGGCGCCGAGGGCCGCGTTCCCTCCCACGCCTCGCGCCGCGGGCGCACAGCGGTCCCGGCCCGGCGGCGGCGTGAGGCGGCGTGAGGCGGCGGGCGCGCGCCCTCGGGGCAGAGCTGAGGCGGCGCGGCCCCCGTGCGCGTGCGCGGCGCCGGCGGAGGCGCGCGCCCGGCCGCGTCCCGGAGCCGAGCTTCCGCCTCCGCCGAGGCCCGAGCCTGCGCGTTGCGGTCTGCGCATGCCGGCTGGGTGCGCGCCGGGCGCCGCTCCCCGGGCCGGTTCAGGACCCGGCTTTTCGGGATGGCCGCGGGCTGCGCGCGGGCGTGGCCGCCGGCCCGGGGAAGCCCTGGCGTGGGGGTGCCGGGGTCGTCGGCGGGGGTGCCCTGGGACACCCCGAGGCCTGCCTCCCGGGGCAGCAGCGTGGGCTGCTGGGTGGGACGCCTCGGAGGGGAGCCCTCCCCGAGGCCTTCGCTGCCCCCTCCGGAGGGCCTCGCCCCTGGCCGCCCGCGGTCGGCACCCACCCTACGCCCTGCGCAGCCTGCGCACAGACCCTGGGCGGTGGTCTCGGGCCCGGCTTGCGAAGGAGGAGACTCAGTCTTGTAATGGCGTCCCAGCTGGTGCCGGGCCGTGCCAAGCCAGGCCCCGGGCTTCCGAGAGGAGGGGGTCTGACGGCTCACGGCTGCACCGCGGAGAGCTGTGCGCTGTCGGGGCTGGAGCCTGGCGCTGGGGAGGGGCCCGGGGTTCATCCCTGAGGCAGCCCGGAGGGAGGCCTTTGGAGCAGGAAGTGATAAGTGATTTACGTCCTTTGAAAAAAAAAAAAAAAGATCACTCCAGCGAGGCAACCTTGCGGTCGGAAATGATAGCAGAAGCAAAGCGACTTTCATTTTTCTGGTGTCGTTTTGATCTTCGCCGCAAGCCAGGCAGCAGGGCCGGCGCTCAGGGCGCTCCAGAAGGGCGCACCTGCGGCTCCGAGGCGAGTGACTCTGCCTTGACAATCAGACTGGCAGAGCCGTGCTGTTCCATTGCAAGAGTTTAGGTAGGGTTTGTTTTTTTTTTAAATTGGGCTTGAACAAAATGGTGCTCGACTTGGAGCCGCTGGGTGCCTTTTGTCTCCTGTTTGCCTTTTGCATTCTAAATGGTACCGAGTCGTCTCCAGGTGCTTGCTTCCTCCTTGGCACAGCCCTCTCCCCACACAGCTCTCACCCTCTGTGCAGAATAGAAACCGCGCGGTGCCCTGCCATCCTTGCCCACACACGTCCCCACCTCCCTGTCCTGCACTCTGCCCCAAAGCTGCCATTGTTGCTCCCAACACCGGGTCCTTGTTTTTCCTGCCCCTCCACTCCCTCCGCTAGAATATTAGCCTCATTGGAGCAGCGGCTTTGTGTTGATTGCTGGTGGGGCTGGCACATAATAAATATTTGTTGAGTGAGTGAATGAAGCTCTGGGGTTACTATCACAAGTGTAGAAGACAATGGGAGATGGAGGGGGAGTGAAGGGACAAGAGGGATTACGCTGAGGCTTATCTCTGGGGTCAGAGGCTGCTCTTAGTGTGGTACACTAAAAATGCCCACCAATTTTGGGATTTTCTGCTACCCCACCTGTTAGGTTTTACAGTGCACTTAAGTTCTGGCGCACAGCTGATTTCCGCAGCCGAAGCCTCTGCACGATTAGTTTACCACGAGCCGAAACACCAGACGGGATGAGGTGTGAGGACGTCTATTATTCCAGCAGGGTAGGAAAGGGGAAGCTATAGAGGGGCAGAAAACTAGAAGGGAAATGTCTCCTGCCATGGTGGCAGGGTGGGGGGCTGCCAGGGCAGGGGAAGGGGCAAGATGGAGGAGGACGGGGAGAGCCAGGTAAAAGGGAAGGGAGAAGGGGAGAGGAGGGCACTCACGCAAGCTCATTTGTACAACCAGGTGGGCCTGGAAGGTGTCAGGCGTGGGAGCGGGAGGAGGGGCTGTGGGTGGGCCCCAAGGGACTGGTGACTGAGATTATCTGAGCCACAGGTAGGTGGGTGGGGATTAGGGGGAGGGGCGGCAAGCGACTGGGGAGTGGGATTCCCAGGTAAGAGGTCTTGAGGTTACCTCTCATTAGTGGATGACTGGAACAGTGTGAATTTTGCAAACAGTGGAAAGAGGAAGCTGCACCAGGTCCAAGATGAGATGTTGGAATCTCTCTCCACAAGAGGCAGAATCTAAGGATTTACAGCTTGAATCTGGGCGGAGCTTCCACCTTGCTTTGACCCCTAGAGTGTGATCTGGAACATCCCCCAGAGTGGCTTGGTGTTAGTCCTTCGTCCCCCTGCATGACACACAGCAAGCACATTAGGACTACAGTGGAGGACAGCAGCCGTCCATTACAGGACACCAAGCAGGGACCAGACAGCCATGGTGAAATCCTGGCTCCCCTGGGAGTTGAGGGTGATGCTCCCAAGACTGAGGCTGGAGCTGGCGGAGCTCCAGCTCATTTGCCGGTCCCTTGCCCATCCACAACACTCAAGGTCCTTTGGTAAACAATACCATGTTCTTTGGGCACGTCGATGATATTGGATAGGCTCAAGAAAGTCAGGTTGGGCCCAGTGCGGTAAGCCTAGTGACTAAAATCCTCACCTTGCATGTGCCAGGATTCCATAAGGGCGCAGGTTCATGGCCCAGATACTCCTCCACTTCCTATCCAGCTCCCTGCTTATGGTCTGGGAAAGCAGTCAGGGATGGCCCAAAGCCTTGGGACCCTGCACCCACATAGGAGACCCAGAAGAAGCTCCTGGCTTCTGGCTTTGGATCAGCTCAGCTCTGGCTTTGCAGCCACTTGGAGAATTAATCGTTGGATGGGAGATCTTTCTATCTGTCTCTCCTCTCTGTATATTTAACTTTCCAATAAAAATAAATAAATCTTTTAAAAAAGACAAAAAAGAAAGATTGTTAGACTTCTCTTTTAAGCAAGACAACACACCAAGGCTGGGGGGAGGGGTATGGTGCATAGAGGACTCATGCTTCTGCATTGGGCCAGCTGACCACTCCCTCAGTAAGTCAACTTGAATAAAACCAAGTTAAGGAAATTTTCATAAGGAGTTTTAAAAGTTCTATTTATTTGAAAGGCTGAGGAACAGGAGAGATAGAAATCTTCCATCCACTGATTCACTCCCCAAATGCTCACAGTCGCTAGAGCTGAGCCGGACCAAACCCAGAAACCAGGAATGCTAGCTAGGTCTCCGAAACAGGTGGCAGGGGCGAAAGTAACTGGGTCATGTGTGCCATTAGCAGGAAGCTGCATCAGAAACAAGTGAGGTCGGTCCTAGGCACTCCCATGCCAGATCTGGGTCCCAAATGACGACTTAGCAACTCTACATAATGCCCACCCCTCCTTAAATTCCTTTGAACGTGTTCTTTATTTTTCCTTGAAATGCAGAGAGCCAGAGACCTTTTGCTCATGAAGTCACTCCTCCAGCCGCTCACAGTAGCCAGGGCTGGGTGAAGCCAAAGCTAGGAACTTAGAATCCCATCCAAGTCTTCCACAAGGCCCCACCGAACGTGCCAGAGCCTAGAACTAGGTGCTCCCATGAGGCACGCCAGCATTTCACAGTGACTCCACTGCTGGGCCACCTGTCTGCCCCTGGAGAAGGAAATCCAGTGCCTGACGGCATGAGTGTCTGCAGCAGGACACTGGGTGGGGGCTCGGCTGTCAGGACTCAGTGCCTGGAGAGCCTGGTGGGGAGGCCGAGTCCAGCCAAGCATTCACCCAGTGGTGGCCATGTGAGACCTGGAGAGACCAGTGGAAGAGCTGGTCAGAGGAATAAGAACTGACCCGGCATGAATTGTACGCCATGGGATTGTTAACAGATAAAAGACCTCTGGTTTTAAGCTTCTAGAATGTCTGGAAGAGTTACAGACATCCAGGTAGAGACAGGGATTTTCCCTCTGCTGGTTCATTCCCCACCTATCTTTATTAGGTCAAGAACTTCCTTTCTTTTTATTAAAAGGTTGATTGATTGATTTTGACAGGGAGGGGTGGGGAGAGAGAGGCACAGCTCCTCCATGCTCTGATTCACTCCACAGATGGTTACAACGACCAGAGCTGGGCCAGGCAGAAACCAGGAGCCTCCTCGGGGTCTCCCACATGGGTGTAGAGGCCCATCCTGCACACAGCTGAGTGATGGCATGCAAGTGTTGCCAGCTAGACTAGCTGCAATGCTAATGATCAATTATCAACGCTAATTATCAGTCTGATGGCTGGTGAGGGGGGCTTAGTGTGAGGGAAGGCTGGCCCTGCATGCACTGTCTTGTACCAGCCCAGCTATGGAGCAGCTAGTACCATCACCTGGTTTTATGGAAGTGAAAATTGCAGTTGCAATATAAAAGCAGCAGTGAGAGCCCCAAGTGGTAGCCTAGTGACTAAATTCTCACCTTGTACACACTAGCATCTCATGTGGGCACCGATTCACGTCCCAGCTGCTCTGTTTCTCATCCAGCTCTCTGCTTGTGGCCTGGGAAAGCAGTTGAGGATGGCCCGAAACCTTGTGACCCTGCACTGGTGTGGGAGACCCAGAAGAGGTTCCTGGCTCCTGGCTTCGGATCAGCTTGGCTCAGTCCATTGTGGCCCCTTGGAGAGTGAACCAGCAGATGGACGATCTCTCTCCCTGTCCCTCCTTCTCTCTGTAAATCTGACTTTCCAATAAAAACAAACAAACAGCGGTGAGTCAGAGGGCCTGGCAGGCATGCAAGGCTGCAAGTACCCTCCTTGGCCCCCGACAGCACCACTCTGTCTCCCCTTCCCGCTGCGCCAGATGGGCCCAGTATTGGCCGTACATGGGAAGCCATCACAAAGAGCTTCCTGTGCATTGTTGAAGCAGCTGCACCAATGCCGTGGAGAAGTCCCCGCCTCCCAGGATGGGGCTGGCTAACAGCCAGGAAGTGGTGTGTGGAGACCAGGGAATAGGAGCAGGCATGGAAGCCACTGTCTCTAGGGTGCAGGCCACCTGCATCTCCACTGGGGAAGCTGGACAGAAAGTCAGAGCCAGGAGCTGGGTACTAGGTGCATCTGCTGCTGGGGGCTTGCAAGGTGGCCATGGGATGCTGGCCCTCACATGTAT